CCTTCTCAAACGGAATTATTTGATGAACATACTGGTTTAATTCCAAAATGTTGACATATTGAGCAATGTATAAAAAAATCAATCAACTTTAAAAAATCACGCCCATCAAATGTTGTAGATGAAGTATTAAATTTTTTGTCAAAACAAGTTATGATCTGATATTTTGTTCCCCATCCACTTGCTCGTCCAGTTTCTTAGCTAGTCTATAAAGGGTGGTTAATGAGGAAAGATGAGCCTTTTCTCAAAATTTTTAAATGGAACATTATCATCATATTTTGATTCCTCTTTTCACAAGCTTTGTCTGATATGATGTCTATGGGGATTTGTACGAAGGGTTTTCGAGCTACAAAAACACAGTGACAACCTCTTGACCTTTAGTGCAAAAGGGTAGGTAGAAGATCTTTATCTTGAAAGTATTATAATATTTCTCATTTACCTTGATATCTGATTTACAATAAGTTAATCACGCCTAAATCACAAATCGTAATACAATTTTGATACAAAGCTACTGCTATGCCAACGATAGGACACCATAAAAACGATCACCAATAAAGGCGTAGGAACAAGTAGAAATGAACATTTGAAAGGGTCACAAAACATGTTATTTTGAATGTTTTTGGAGTTGCTGATTATTTTTTTTTTCGTAGTACAAAGGTTCGCGTTTTTCTATTTTCTTATTATTCCGGGCCATAGTAGAAATATGGGTTGTTCGAAAATTCTAGAATCTGGCATTCCTTCTAGGGTTGCATATATCGCTAACAGCGCTCAGAATGTCTGTGTAGCTAAGATGTATGTAAGCCGCAATTGATCAATTTGAGTGTAAAGAACTTTGCAAAATTCTCAACAGTAATCTATGAGAAGGATGTATAGATACTATTGTGTGAGAAGTACATAGGCAGTTTTTGTATAACTCTCGTAGAGAAGCTGAAATTTCGTCATTTCGTAAAATTATTTGGCTATAAACATATTGATTATGTCATTAAAGATACTTAGTGGAAATAGTTACGCGTGCAACTATGCTCAAGTAAGCTATCGGGCTAATAAAATATTATACGGAGAGTTTTTGTGGAGATGTTCATATTTACCTTTGACATAATTCAAACCGAATAACGATATAGTTGAAAAGTGAGCACCTCTCAATATACCGTATATTATAATTATAGTCTTGTAATATACCACATGAATTGTAAAAATCCTAAATTACTTCCACCGATAGCGACCCGACCTTTTACTAAATTATTCCCTTATTTCCAACAAGCAATTTCTGACTATCAGAGACCATGCACGTACAGTCATCCATACAAATTAAGGATATGATGTTCCCTTGCTATGGCTGCTCTGATCTGATCTGCGATATCTGACCGTTCGGGACTATCGGAAATTCATTGTTGGGAAATACCGATAAGTCCGAACCTGTACGGAGTACGCATCGATTTACCGTAGCCGATCGCTTATGTGTTGGAGGCTGAAAATTGTACTGGAGATTTTGCCTGACTGTAGCTACTTGGTTATCCATTGTGATATTATCACATTTCAAGGTTGTTTTGTTGTGACGTCGCTACACATCAGACAGAAATTTTGACATCTGAGGTTTCGTTTGACCAGAAAAGCATCGAGTTCTATTTACATCCAGTAATACCTTCTTTTTACATTTTTTGCTCATAAAGAAGTAAAGTGAGTATTTTATGACCTTATATCCCATATGTCACTACGCCCACCAATAACGCAGGGTTCTCACGCACCATTTGACCCCTTTTGAAATATTTGTTCGCCTTTTTAGGTCTGGTTTCGTTTATCCGTATACATCACGGTTTTATGTTTTGTCTGGTTTTGGCAGCACGGAAAGACTAATGCTCCGTTCTGGCGTTTCGGCTCTGCGTCTAAGAAGACTTTTATTACCTAAAATACTTTCCGAGTGGTAAACAGAAATATATTTCATGGATCTTCCATTTTCCTCTGGAATAGTCTTTGATATGGAGTCTGACCGTTTCGCTATTTTTATAATAGTGTAATTTATTGTACTCATAAAAAACGACAGCAGAGAGCTCAAATAGAGATATTTTTTTGTTTATATCCATCAAATTATACGATTTCTTACTTGTCCTTTTATTCTTGACGGATCTATAGACTCATCACCAATAAGTAGTTACATCAACCCAACTAGCAAAGTAGTGATATAAGCTTTTGGTAAAAGAACCGTTCAGCCATAAAAGCTCTCTATTATTGTTGCCTGAACACCAAAATGCTGGCTTAATGTTGTGTGGTATGCAGATTTGCTTTCTGCAACATACTTGCACATATTTGCTCTAAACTGAAGTGTTTAAAATATTCTTATAGCATAGTTATACAATACCTTATAGGGCAAATTTTTAACTGTTGCATAAACGTTTATACAACTATTTTATAGGGCATATTTGCACGTTAGTCAAAATGGTTGTGTTGTGGCATCCATGGTAACGTTTATAAAACAAACCCGCGCCTTGTTGTTTTGCTGTGCAATTGACTACTTTAGCTGCAACGGAAGCACTTATACAACTGTTTAAGGCTGTACATATGCTAGATATGTTGGTAAACAACTTCACCATAACCTAACTTTCTGCTGTCATATTTTTGTAAAATGCCAGAATCAATGTTTTAAGATAAATAACGCATGCATATTGGTTCAAAAGGTTTTATCAACTGTTCAAACAGAAGATATAGATCTGGTACAAATTCTGGGTAAATCATTCGACTCTGTCGGTATTTCATTTCAGACATTTGTCAAATTGTTGTATAAGACCTGCAGGCAACACCAAAATATTCTAATAACCTAAAGACAAGATCGACGATGCCATGATTGTACACAACCACCCGCCATATTGGACAAACATTTATTCCTCTATTTAATTTTAAATAATTATGTTTCAGTTCGAAATTACAGATATAAAGTGATAAACATTAGTGTAATTGTGTCTAAATATAGGATTTGTGGAAGATTTAACGCAGATAAGTTTAGTTTTCCATCTTAAAAATCTAGACATACCTTTGATCATTGTCAAAATATGAATCAAATACTTAGCCCGTAGAAATTGGGTAACTAATCTGCACGATAATCACAATAAAATTTGCTGCGCAAGTAATTCAATAGCCCTATATCACAGTGTAGAAGTTTATCATAAACCTGTGTATGAAATTCACAATGGCCGATATATAAGTAAACAAGATGACTGTAATGTGTTAGTTATATATTCTTCATTTCATCTATACAATACATAAGAAATAGTTTGTTTGCAATAAAGTAGAATCACGTAACAGAATAGTTGTATAGTTGACAAAAACTGAATCTTGCACTGACGCAAATGTCCTATAGCGGCTGCAAGATGCTTACACTTTTGTTTTATAACTGTCACCTGCAGCCCTTATTTAACCTCTTCAATGACTGAAGTGTCCTATTAGGTGTTCCCATTCCGCTTGTATAGCTGTTCTAAGAGGCTTTTGCCAATGTTCTTACAGTATACAATGCTGTTTAAGGAATACTGTATAATCATTCTTGTAACTCTAATAGGAGTGATAATTGTTAGTTGGGAAGAGAAGGCACTTCGTGGAATATCTTCATAATCCGCTGGTCAGCTTGATTGACCTTGAGTTCGTTCTGCATTATAGTATTGGAGCAGACCACAAGTTTTTGGTTACACCATCGCGTATTGATAGATGTTAAAAACTAGTAAAGTATATTTATGTTGAACAGCAAACTCGGCAAAACTTTGCGTTTGACTCTTGAACTATTACTGGTTTACAAAAAACAAGATTATAAAAACAGGGATCCGTGAGCCAAACGTCCCTTGTTTTGCGATACGCTCATAATTGGCTATGCTCATACACGACTCTGCAAATACCGAAGCGGTGTTCCCAAAGTTACATAAAGCGTTTAGAAAACACTTCATCTATACTGAACCGAATGGAGTTCAGTTCTTTTCACAGATTTTGGTGGTTACGTGCAAAAAGCTGTCTAGATAACTGGTAACCGTGTTTTACCAAATAAGCAGTTTGAGGTTAGAAAAAATTGAAGTTGAGGCGTTTCTCTTTTGTTACTAGCTGTTGATAACTTGCAGGCTATGAAAATAACGTCTGTTTACATGATGCGGAGAACACCAGCAAATAGTGTAGTTTATAACTTTATTGAATTAAACATACATTTCGTAAGCTGAAAACCGAAAATAAATATCCCCACAATGAATGAATGTCCAAGAAAAAGTAAATTTGAACGAAAAATGCATTCACGAGTGATGGATAACAAAATAATCCGAAAAGGATTATCTATCTGCCAACACCGCATTTATTTTGACCAAATAAGAACAGCACTTAATTATTGCCATCAGCTGTTTTGTAGACACCATCTTTTGCGTAACATCTCTTATCTCTCGCTAATACATTCGTCTTGTCTGTCTGTCTTCTCTCGGTGTCGCTACCCTTTGGAACCACTATAACATAATGTTGACTGACGTTATTCTAAGCTAGACGTTCGGTCACTGCCCATTGACCTATGTTCTACAAACAGGCTGTTCTTGAAGCTGAGACTTTTACAAGGCATGTAGCTCTTATCAAAATAAGCAAATTTTCTCAATGGCACGTACACCAAAGTCATAACAGTAAGAAGGTGGGCAACAAGAAGTGGCACTTACGCCTTTAATTTAGTTCAGTTGGTTGTGAAAATAAATGTTTTAGTTGAACTTTGCAGTTATTTATCGTCTATACAAGGAGGAGCTTGTGTATTACACACACACACACACCTGAGTTGTCGATCTGGCTTGTTTCGTTCTTCTGTAGTCATTATTTTTGCTAGAGCTGTTTCGTGATTGTTTCTTTTTTTACGATGGCAAGCTTCAGTGAGCAACGTGCAGCTGTGAAATTTTGCTTTCTAATTGGTATAAATGCTGCTACAACTGTTTTAATATTGAAAATTGCTTACAAAGGTGATGCCATGGGAAAAACTCAGGACGAGTGGTTTTCTCGATTTAAAAATGGCGATATGTCGATCGGTGACCAACTTCGCTCTGGACGTCCATCAACTGCCCGAATCGACGAAAATTCAAAAGCTTGTCCTTGCAGACTCTCAACTGAAAATCGATCAACTATCCGTAAGTAGTGGGTTGTCCTGGAGTTCGGTTCAGCGAATTTTAATACAAGATTTGGGAATGAAAAGGGTTATTGCCAAGTTTGTTCCTCGGGCTCTGACTGACCATCAAAAAGAGCATCGAGCTGAAACATGTCGTGCTTTGAAACAGCAGCTTGTATCTGATCCAAATTTTCTGTCAAAGATCATCACTGGTGATGAGACTTTGTGCTACGGTTATAGACCAGAAACGAAACAACGGTAAAGTCAATGGAAGACGCCATCGTCACCCCGTCCAAAAAAATGTCGTCAAGTCAAATCAAACATTTTGTTTTTTTGATGTCAATGGCGTAGTCCATTCCGATTTTGTTCCCTCAGGTCACACTGTCAATCAGACCTTTTATTTGGAGGTTTTAAGACGATTGCAAAAAAGACCCGATTTGTGGCAGTAAGGAGACTGGTTCATCCACCACGATAATGCACCTGCGCACAGTTTCTGGTTTTTTTGGGTGCCCCTCTCGTATGTGAGAGTAATTAGATAGAATTTAATGTAATTAAAGGCATATGTACGTTTTCAAGTTTATACAAAATAAACCACATATTTACGATGACACCACTTTGTCCAATAACATGCAAATGTCACTATTTGGAACACACTGTCTGAATAATGTTACCATATGAAACACATTTAAGCGAGGGTTAAAATCATATTAATGGGTAAAAGTAGATTTTGAAGAAAATATATCATACAGTCACTGTTGTCAAATTTTAAAGTATCAAACTAACTTCCCGATCCTTGCGTCGGTGTAAATGATATGAATGTTTCAAAAACAACACATTCTGTATGCAAGTGTATCAGATTTGATCCAACTATAACAACGTCAGGGGTATTTACTAATAAATGACTATTTTTAGTGAGGTCTTCTTCATTACTGTAAATGAACGAAAATTACACTTCCATTCTGGAAGCAGCTAATTAAGTCACAGACAAAGATAGAATTTAACATATTCTGTCGATAAAAAAGCGTAGAACTAGTACGCAAATGTTCATTATCTTCGTAATTGAGATGTTGAGGTATTTAGGGTCACTATTCACTAAGGCAAACGGAACTGTTTATCTATAAATCTAGTTAAAAGACACCGAAAATGGCCCATTCCTACAGCAATAATAAACTTATAGATATGACGTTAGTTCACGTTGAATGTTTCAAAGCTAGTGCTTCGCGACTGTCTCTATCCTATGCCACTCAGGTTTGTTCACCGTGTACAAAAAGCTAGATGATATCCGAGACTCAGACCGTCGAGGTGGGTACAGTAGAAGTCTTAGATATTCCCAAGTATTGCAATTTTAAAGAAAGAAGATATTGTTGCTTAATCGTACAGCGGCAACTTCAGTAGTATTTAGTAGTAGAGGTGGTAGTTATTCCCATAAAACAAAATTACATACATTAGGAATCCTTTCTATAACTCCAACATCATTAACAATCTGTCTTGAAAATAGTATGGACATTCGGTAATACATGTGACGTTATTTAATGATGACATGGTAGGAATGTATCCAGTAATACATCCTTATAGAATTAAATACTATAGGGTTCTGTCTTAAAAAGCTCAAAGAACAGAACAGTGCTATTTAGAAGAATGATTAAGATATTCGTCAACGGGCTAAACAGGATTATCTAAAAATAACCTCCAACCTCGTTGTTTAAAACGGCATTTGATAAATAACATCATGATTCGGCCAATACTTCCAGTACAAGGCAAACTTGTGATGACCAAGGTAGTAAGGTATCAACATAAACCCCTAGGTACTTGACGCTAGGGTTTAGTGGCAAACTATGTCCAAAACATTTATCTGAAACGCTACTATGTACTTTTACTATTACAAACGTCATAAGCTGGGCTTTATTACTCTTCAGAACAAGACCATTGTCACAACAATACTTACAATACTCTTGTACTATATGACATACTGAGAAATGACTCAGTATCAATAAAGCGAGGATGCATCATCCGACTGGACGGTACGTTTCTTGTCAAATGATTGGTGAGAGCTATCTTAGATTTATTGCTGTTTAACTTTACACATAACCTTTACGTCTGATCACCCTATACGAAAGCGAGGTAACCAAAACGATCTGTTTACTCCTAGGCCGTCTGATCAAAGTGATTGGTTTCAAACTGTAAGTGTAATTTCCACCGTGCACTTTCAAAATAATGGTCAACTATCAGAGGCGCCTAGTACAATTTTATTCAAACGAAAGTAAACATTCATCGGATAAAGTGGACGCACTGCCCCATTCGCTACGTGATCCAATCAGCAAAGTTCACCACCATCATTGGAAAGGTGAGTGGAAAAAAGCGAAACGAAACCTTCCTGTAAAACTTTTATTCTGATTGAAATCTCACGATTCGGCTTTCATCAGTATGAAATCAGACGCGTCTGAAAAGGTAAGGCAAATCGTAATAACGGCAGAGCATACCGGGTGTTTCAAATTTCACTCTCACCATTTGGATTTAGGAGACGAGAGATTCGAGATTGGTTAAACAAGGGCAAAGCTGTGCAATTAGCTAAAAACCGGATATTCCCAAAACCGTTTATATTTTTCCTGGCCTTTTCTCTCTTGCGAATTGAAGTGGCATAATTAAGACTTCAGCATGTATAGGCAGCAGCGGTGACTGCAGTGGTAGACTCTTAGGTCTCATGATCGGTCGCCGTGCGCTGCGCGGGTTCGAATCCCGTACGAAGAGAAATGTTTCTCTTGGCTATGGATGTTGTGATTGTCCGTAGGTGGAAGAGCGTCCCTGACTGTCGAACGCGGAGGTACCACCCGGCGGATCTCGTAGGCGGGGTCAAAATGTGTGCATGTTGCATGCACACGTGTTCCCTCGCCAGAGTCCGTGTGGCGTCCCCATTACCCCTGTTTCTCCCTATAGCCCCACGGTACCCAATGGGTCGTTAGGCCTTAGGGCCTTCGTGGTGGTTGAAGTATATAAAAAAGGAAAATGAATTTTTGTCAAGTGTACTTTTCTTCATGGACGCCATTTTTGATCTTTGAAAAGGTCGAACAACTATTAATTTTGATTTGCAATATGCCCTACGTTAATATTGGAAAACTATATAGAAAACAGTATTCTCTAAGTAGTGCTTGAAATTTTGAGAGTCACTTGTTTCATAATATCATAGGCCAAGCATTCCATTCCAGTCCGTATGAAATGGACGCAGGTAAACAGTCCCTATTTACGATTAGGATTGATATCATAAAACATCAAATTACTAAAAGAGTAATCTACCTAAAGTGGATCTTAGCTCATCAAAAAAAGAACATGAGGATGATAACTGTTTCATACTACTTAAGAGTAGTAACAGAAACACCGAAAGCGATATAATTTTAATCTTCCGATTCTGTATAACCGAATACTCAAACCATCCGACTATTTACATCGTCAGCGTGAACCTCTTATGCACAGCAATCGAGAACATCTGAAAAACCAGCGAAAATACAATTTAATAATAATGATAAACGTCTTTTTATTTGGGCGAAGTTTAGCTTAAGCCTCCACTTAACCCATACAAAAATAAATACAAACATGAATAAAATAGATAAATGACAAAAAGACTCAAGATATAACAACAGTAGTATTATACATATGAGTATTTAGTATAATTACTCATAGATGAATAAATGCTATTTTTATGCGTAGAAGTGAGAGACAGCAATTTTTAATTTTGGCACGTTAAAAGTAAGTTCTTGATATCTCTTTTAAAGTTATCAAATGTTAAGGGGTAATAAATTATATAGATAAGGTGAAGCCTTTATGGAAAGTTGATGTTCTGTGGATAGGCATGGTGAGTGTATTTGGGAAGGGAATATCTCTAGAATAAACACAGATACGACTTAGTAGTTTTTTCTTTAAAAACGGAGGTAATGAGGTAATTTGGAGTTTATGAACATATCATAGTAAGTGATATTTATATAATTTTTTAATGTTCACCCAACCTAGTTTTTGAAAATATATGGAAATATGATCGTACTGTTTCAAGTTCTCATCTAAAGCAAGAATTTTTTATTTTTTGCGTTTTATAGATACCGAATTTAAAATGAATGGTAAGCAATATCACAATATGTAATTTTTGAAATGATCAATAATTTGCATAGAATTTTCTTAGTTTTGTAGTGTAAAATTTATTTATCGAGGTATAATTGGCGAAATACTGAAAAACAACTTTTAGTAATATGATCCACATGTGGAATGAAATTCAGACAGTCAAGGAAAATACCTAAGTTCTTAACTGATTCATGAACTTGAATAATTTCGTCATCCAGAGATATATTTGTATAACTTTATTACTCGTATCTTTTAATATATAAGTAAATATGATAACTTTTGATTTTGTAGAATTTAAGTTATGAGGTTTTCTACAGAATTTATACGATATTCAGTTAAGCAGGGTTTTTTGGATCGCTGGATATTCCAAGTATGCTTACAAAAAATCTAGGGCATTGAGCCCAAATCACTTGTAATTCAGTTTCTAGTTGCTAAGTCCAAATCAGAGGTCGGCTAGTCACTATGAGGTCATTTGAAGGTCATTCAATCCAAAATAAGTCTATCAGTTGAGTCCAGACCATATGGGTTTTAAACCAGTGTTTCTCGATATTAAATCTACCGTCACTTCGTACTAGATCAAAGGTGGTCATGGAAATATAAAGGAGTGCGGTGAAATGTTTGTTGGCGCCTGCCGCACACTTTTACAATGGAGATTGGCGGAGAACAGCGCGGGTTTGAACAATAATTTGATATATGCTCGCTGACGTATCTAGTCGAATTGCATTTTTATTAGATTTACGATTAAAGCTTGAAGCGTTGTTGTCCTTGGTCATAAAACGCAGAATATGAATTCAAAGAATATATTCGGTTATTACGGATTCTAGTGCAGCCGGTTACATTGCATACAAGGGAACAAGAAATACTGGTGGCTTAGTAAGGTGATCAAACTGTAGGTCAACTACTTTGAAGAAGTGACATTACCTATAGGTCTTTTCATGATTTTTGGCCGGTCACAGTAGAACTTCAGAAGTTACTTTCAGACATCCATCTCTTTTTCACACATACATATGCAATCCGACAAAATATCCGCGGACGCTTCTTTATGTAAACTCAAAGACGTAAGTTCATTAATTTTGTTTCGTTGCCCTGAAAAATTTGTCGTCAACGTACGAGTCTTTCACATATTTATGCTTGTAACTGTATGACAACTTGCTT